TAGCCAGGGAAGTCTCTAGAGAAGATGTCCATGAAGAATGATGTGCGTAATAGTACGACACCATTCACCATTAGCATTTAGAGACCATGATAAGGATCATCCAGCCTGTGGAAATGGATCGCGTTGTTTTCTTTCTCTTTAGCTAAACACACATCACATGCATCTATCTATCTATCTATATGTGTGTCATTGTTCAGGATTAGAGGAATAACGTCTATATCTTGCTATCTATGGGTGCAAAGTCCAACGGTCCGGCTCAAAACGCACACTGAGAACATGGTGGGACTGCACAAGAGCCAGAAGATAGCTGAGCATCGTAACCATAGCTGCCGCCACAATTTTGGCCAGTCGCCAGTTTTGGAAGACGTGCAGCCTCCCACCACATCTTCTTTCAGAGTGTTTCCAAATGAGAGCACATTATCACGTCTTGAAGATATAATAGTTGCATTATAATCCCACTTACATTTCTCTCTCTCTTTTTTTCTTCTCATCCATCCATGGCTGCCTATAAGGGAGGGGTTGATGGATGATGGCACTACCAACTATCTGCATCTGCATCCTCTCCTCTGAATCTGATCTTCCTTACTCCCTTTCTTTGTTGAGCGAGCGAGAGAGAGAGAGAGAGACATGGCGGCACTGAAGCTCAAGCTCATGGTGCCACAGGCAGGCCTGTGCTTGCTGCTGCTGCTCATGCCACCATTCCTACTTCCTCCTGGTAAGCATTTGCCTCCTTCCTCAGTCCTGTATTATTTCTTTCTGAAGAATATGACACTCTGCTTCCTTCCTTCCTCGGTGTTCTAATATTATTTCTCACTAGACCAGTTTATTGCTGGTCTGGTCTGTCAGTGAAAGGATTGTAATAAGCTGCATGCCCAAATAGTTGAAAGGTTCACCGAACTAACACCAGTTAATCACATTCTCTTTGTAGGATGTGTTGCCACTCGTCCTGATCCCACCCAAGGGCCATATGAGGGCAACAAGAGGACCTGCACGGAGCTGAGCAAGAGGAGCCCCCTCCTCTACTGCGAGCACCACGCATGCGTCGTCAACTGCCGCATCGAGGGCTTCGCCGAGGGAGGGTTTTGCAACTGGCTGCGCTGCCTCTGCAAGAGGCCTTGCTGAATGTGACGATGCTGCTTCAGGATGTTGCCAGTGATGCAACTAGTAAATAAGTAAGATGCATCAAAGTGTTGATGTGCATTTTCGCAAAAGAAAAATAAGTGGTGATGCGCAAGTTGTAACCGCCACAAACTTCCTTCTCTAATATTTGTCAACTCCCAGTTGCAAGCTATATAAATCTGAGGCATCTAAATATTAATTAATTGTTCTTGCAACAAAACTGTCAGATGATATGAAAAATTTATGTGTAGCGACACAAATGGAAAATTAAACCATCTGCCATATCCACAGGTTGGCTTCAAAATGAGTCAATGTCTCACACAGATGCTGCAAATGTTGCTTTTTAGGGGATATAAATTTTTTAGGGGATGCAAAAGTTGTTTCTGTAAGCTGCAAAAGTAGTAGCCGACATATTACCACACATTTTTAATAATTCTGGTAATATCCAGAGATTAATTCATGAGGGGAACCACAAGCTTTAATTTGTTGATCAATCCGAACGTCTCCACACAAAGATTCCATAGTATTTAGGCATAAACCACCAAACACAGGGAATGGCGGACCAAAAATAGAGAATGTTTATAGTTGCGGTTACATTCTGCGCAATTTGACATAGTGGACAGTCACACAAATTGTTGATGGTTGAGTTTCATACCGTGCAATCTCTATCTTGGAACGAGAACGATGCCATCCTATTGGAAATTCCGGACTCAGAAGCTTAGTGGAAATTGACCGTGGTGCGATACACAAAGTAGCGACATCACTCCCTAGCAGAAAGATAGCTAAACGGATTGTTTTAACCTAAAATCAAACACTCCCCATTACTATTGATCAACGTCATTGTTAATAAAACGTTTGTCAAGAGATGGAACACGATGCATTATTACCGAGTTTCACCTGGGGATATAAGAAAACATTTTTGCCATTGTTAGAGATCATTTGGTTGTGTGAAGTACTGTTCTCATTCAAAACTAAGCACCTCTGATATAAGAAACATTTCTGCCATTGTCAGAGATAGTGCCATATATAGGGGATCCCTAGGCACTCTTGGGTCGACTCAGTCTGTCCATGCCCGTAGAGCGTGCACCTCTGATAGTTTGACACCACTCACCAAAACGTTGCTTGAAATAAATATCTGAAGAATATAACAGTTTCTACTATTCTTTTTCTGATGTTATTGCAGGATCTGAAGGCAAGACTTCCAACGCTGCCATGGCGAGGGCTCTACTGAAGTGAAATAAAGCATTACAATTGCATCATAAAGTGAAATAAAGCTTTAAAACGATATAAATAACAGTAGAAAAACATGATGCAAAATGGGCGTATAGATTCTCCTCCCCGCCACTGGCCGCCGGAGAGGGAGAACCATTTCTTGTTATTCATGTGCGTTTCATGTCCTTTTTTGATTTAACGTACCTAATTAATTAATGAGCAATGTTGAATTATTGCTCAATAATTTTTAGGGCATGTCTATGTCTTAGTTCACCAAGTGAATTTTATTTCTCGGTAGATTTCTACCAAAACCAAACCCTTAGCCGCCATCCATCACGTCATCCTGGCGACTTGAGTTCGTCGGTCTTTCTGGTGTCAAGTGTTTCAACATCAAGGGAATCTTTGACACTCGTAGAGAGTTTTGTCCTAGTTTTTGAGGTTTTTGGGGTCCTCGTGTCGTTCATCTGGACTGTAGAGGCGACAACGCAAAAGGATTAGTACCTCCAACCCTATCCTCTTTAGCAATGCTATACTAGTCTCAACGCCCCATGAGGCACATGGCTGGTTCCCCCGAATACGTTCCATCGAGCTATGCGCGTGTGTTGGGGGGGTCATTTGGCATGTGTGTCGGGGTTGGGGGTGATCATTTGGCGCTGCGGTAGGCGTTGATGTGAGACTGGGTCTCCTCGTCTGACCTTTGCCTTCTTGTCCAAGTTTATGTCATCGTTGCCGTCCTCTAATAACTTCTGGTGACTTTGCAGCCACAGTTACACGTCTCTGTTGCTCCGGCGATATGAACAAGTGTGGAGCCAGGTGGAAGCGGCGCCAACGGATTTGAACCTATTTGTAATTTCTAGTTTTACCGGGGTCGTTCTTATAATTATAATTTTAATTTTTCTTAGGAGTATATATGACTCTCTTTTTTGACAAAGTATATATGACTTTTAGGTAGACAAGAATAGATTAACCACCGTGGGTTTTCTTGGTCGGTGGGATTCAGCCCGGAGAGGCCGCGTCAACCGTCTGCCGCTCCTCCTCCTGTCCGCCCGCCCGCCCGCCCGTCCCGAAGCGTCTCGCCGCCGGAAACCCTCGCCGCCCTCTCCTCCTCCCGCCGGACCACCCCATCGAAGGCGAGCAAGTCTCCCGGTAAGGAATCCCTAGCTTTGCTTGGACGGCGCTTCGTTTTCTCGCTCACATACCACCCTGACTTCTTCCGCCGTGGAGAACCGATCCGGCGGCGCATCCGCCCGCGTGCTCTGCCACGGGAATTTGGGGATCGATCTCTGACGGGATTCGGGAACCAAATTGGTGATTAATTCCGACGACGCCCCTGGAGACCCGGGGGTGCGGCTGCTGATGCTTGTTCATCTGTAGTCTATGTAGAGTTATTAGATATGGCTTGATACTTGTTTATCTGTTGCGTATATCTCAGTAGGGTTGCGAGGGCAAATAATTCGTCTACATATGTAGTGTTAAGAACTCTTGCGCAAACAAGTGGCAGGTGGAAGAATTGTAGGAAGATGTGTTGGTCTGTTTCATTAAAGCGGTACTCCATATTTTGAGTGGAATTATTTGGAAAATGCTTAACTAAAATATGACCTAATCAGATGCACCTCGACAGTTTGTGCTCTCGCCTCTGGTCAGCTATGTAGGTTCTCTTTAATCCTTAGAGAACCCTCCCCAAAATAATGTTAGGACGTAGATCGAAACGTTGTGCATCTCTTGTCCTCTGTTGGCCAGATCTGCTATCTCTTCTCCTCAGGCTGGTGCGTGTTATGAGTTCTCCTCCGTCCCTCCCCTGTTTTTAGACCCCCCACCCCCAATCAATGTCAGTGCATTGTGTCCCTCTTCTCCACTGCTTGCCAGATCTGGTGTCCCTTCTCCTTCAGTCCCTTGTTTGTTTCCACGGCAGATCTCTCTACCTCCTCCATCAATGACATTGAGCTGCCATTAACATCTCCACGCGTGAAAACTCATCCAGATCTTTCTTCTACAACCAATTCATCTGTCCAATTTGTCGCTGAGAGATCTGTTTGCTGCCTTCTTATCCTTGTGTTGTGAAGTACAGTATAATTATTATACATAAAGCAGTCAGCTTGCTTTCCGATTTTTAGATCCATCAGCCTCTGAAACAAGCGGGTTCCACCATCATTTGCTTCTGTAATAGCGGCCACCAGGTGAACTGCTGTTTCTTGAAACATGCAAACTAATGAGCTTTTATTTACTACCGTACTTTGCACATGCTTATCTATGTCTGTAACATCTGAAAGCTTGAGAATAAAATGTTGATCGTGCTAATTGCTGACATTTTAACTGGGAAGCATACCACATTTGTGGGTGTCCTCATCTTCTTAATGTAGAATTCTGTGCAGAGCCTACTTATTCATTCATTCTGTTACGCAACACTTTAACAGGAATGCACGAAACTTCCAAAATTCTAACTGGAAAGCATTGTGTGTATTCTGAATTTGTTTGCTCATACTGTTATTGCCCCGTAATTCATTCTATTTAACATGTGGATAACACTGTACTGAAAGCATTCACGATAGATCCCAGATATTCATTCTACTTTGACATGCATGAGACTTTTGTTTCTTTGAACATCCATAACACTTGCTTTTTAATCCCTGATTTTTGATTGCCGTGCTGTTTCAGGATTGTTGTCTGCCATGGGTGACTACACAATCCGGATAAGCACCAGCTTGATCGACCAGCTTTCGCGCGATGACGAGAAGGTGAAAAGGAGGACCAGGAAACCCAAGCCGAAGAAGGTCGTGGAGCAACAAGAGGAGCCTCGGGACAATGGCAGGGAACTTCCAAGCGAGCCCAAGAGCAGCCCTGCTCCCGCTCCTGGGTGGGCGTTGCCGCCCCCCATGTACCTACCAGTGACCCCTGCTCCTCCACCACCCCCGCCGGCAATCCAGGAAGTGGAAACCATACACGCCGTGGTGGCGGAGAGCGAGAAGGTGCTGGAGAAGCTGCAGAAGCAGGAGGCGACGATGCATGAGGAGCTTACCAAGAGGGCCAAGGAGCTGCACGAGAAGGAGTTCAAGCTGCCCTACCAGAACCCCTCACCGTGCACTGACGAGAGGGCGGGCTGCGCCGAGTGTTACCAGAGCAACATCCAGGACCCGCTCAAGTGCGCCGAGGCGGTCAAGAGATTCGAGGCATGCGTCAGCATGGCGAGGCGGAGCGGCACCATGGGGGCTGCTCAGTGAGTCGGAGCAAGTGAGCGAGGTGTCGTACACATGATTTTGGTTTGTCGGGATGATTGAATAGCCTGAATGGATTTTCGGTGAGACCTGAAACACCATCAGTTGTAGATTAAAATTCTGTCAAGGGATTGCACCGGTGCTGGCAAGATGCCATGAGTGTCCTTGATGAATTTAGGGCCTGATTCCATGTTTACTTGCATACTAGAAAATGAAACATGAATTTGCATGGTTCGAATTAATGTTTCCCGACGAGTATATTTAGGTAAAATGGCTGCTTTTCCTTGCAAAGTCGTGGCATGTTTAGGTAAAATAACTGTGCTCGTTTTGTTTGGGATGAGTTTGAATAACCATTATAGGTTGATTTAGCTTCATATGCACATGATGCTGCTGCTGCTTTGCTGGTTATTGGCAAAATCCATGTCTGAGTCGTTCATAAAGAAAATGTAGAACCTTATATAGGTGTTATTTTATAGGCATAAATATTTCTGTTGAGATGCAACAACACTGGGGTACATGACAGGAATGTTGTACACAACACACCCCCAGGGCCAGCAGGCAGCAGCAAACCAGATCAAGATCAGACCATCGCGGCCTAGGATGTCGATTCAGAGATGCCCGACTCGACACCCTACACCGCAGGCCCCGACACTTCTCGACCAAGAACAGAGCGACTGCGGCACAGTTAAGTTGTAGAAGCAATAACAGCCATTCCACTAGCAGAGCAACAATCAAGGACCAGGCCTATCATCCAAGAAAATCCACAACACCCAAGCTGCAGAGTGCTGGAAAGTTTCTCAGACAAGTTATAGCCAGCACTGCCACAGTATCCCAGCAGATAAAGCCACAGTTGAAAAAGTATCTTGAACAAGTTAAAAGGCCAGTGTCTTCTCATCAGTTAACCAAACAAATCAAAAACAGAGGCTAAATCTGTCAGCTGCCAACAGAGGACACATGTCGCCGTTAGCGCAAGCGACTAAATTTTGTGATACATTCTTAAGGGGGCTAAGCCTGTTAATAAAGACTCGAAAGGGGCTAATTATATGCAAAAAAAAACATCCTGAATGCAAAGCAGCAATCAGCAAGATACTCCTATTGCAAGGGAACTGTAGCAAGATACACATCACTATTTGGCTGAAAACAACCTTTGAAGCAAAACTTACAATCATCACTCACAGAACCAGGTGTAAAGACACTTGGCATCAGACCTCAGTAAGGCCAAAAAAATATAAGAGCAATGGCTTCAGTGAATAGAAGATGTACTCGAAAGTTATGCTGGAACCACTAGCAGAGTAAACAGAGTCCAAAGTAAGATCTGCTATAATTATTCTTCTAAGAAAATGCAGACCAGAAAATTAAGGTGATTCAAGTGCTTGTGCTTCAACCACGCCCTCATCCCACCATCCTTAAACCCACCTGAAAAGTTTATCGACAGAGTGAGATAAACAGCTGGGCAAGTGACAAAAAGTAAGTATCACCCAGAAAGCCCCATGTATGATCTTTGCAACCATGGTGAAAACAAATTTAACAAGCCAAGCTTTTGCATTTATTTCATAAGCATCAACAACAATCTCACTAATTTATGGCCATACATCTCAATTGCATTCTCATTCTAACCAAGATAAGATGTCATGGCACGGAAGCTTAACAGGCTTGGCTCAGATTGTGTCTACACTGACATATCACGTTTACAAAGAGATGTAGCTCACTATTCACAACTCAATCGCACAGGAAGGAGAATTCACTTTAACCCAACCCCAATAAGAGAAGTAAAATACAGGATATTATATTGAACGTCACAGTCACCTGCCTTAACCATGTGACAAAGATTTGCTGGCTAAGATGAAACCTGACGTGCGGCGCTAGAACCTCAGATTTACAGTTATAAGGTACAGCTCCTTAAAACACTTACCAAACTAAAAAATAAAAGACACGCTCCTACGATTTGACACATCACCTCTCTTATAATATAAGTTCACTTCACAATTTTGTATCTGTTATTCTATACAAGCAACTCTACAACTTTAGTGTTATCACGAAAATTTAATTCGATCATGCCCAGAGTTTGAAATTGTGCTACAAGGTAAATGGGCTACAGTGAAGAAAAACAGAGTAAGAATTCAGATTGCCATAACTTGTGATGTACCCAACCAATCTTGGCATACTTCATCTTTTTTGGTATGGTAATAATGAAATTACACGCAATCTAATAAGAATACAGTTTGGAATGTACTAGCACAATCTACCAAGACATCCATTTTTCAAAATGTAGATTGGAAATTGCCCGCACAACATAGTAATGGCTTCCGCTCACCTTTCACGCTTCCTACTTCCTCCCCTTTCCTTGACCACCGGCCTTCTTCGCCGTAATCGCGCGATGGGGCCTCCGTTTCCGCGTAAAAGCAAACTCCCCGAACTTATGGCCGACCTTCCCTTCGGTGACCCTGCAGCGGACGTGGGTCTTGCCGTTGTAGATGAGCGCGGAGGAGCCGACGAACTCCGGCAGGATCGAAGACCGGCGAGACCAGATCTTCCTGCCGTTCAGGCTCCCCCCGCTATTCTTTATTCTCTGCAGGAACGCGTCGACGAACGCTCCCTTCCATAGAGGCCTTGAGCTGCACGCAGACAGCAGCTTGGGGGCATACATTGGAGTCAATGTTGAGCAGCATAGCGAGACTGCCTGTGATGACTGTAATGGTGGTTACCTGAAAGCGCGAGCCGCTGATCCGAACCCCGAGAGCAGCGGAGACGCGGCGTGCTGGGTCTGGTGAGGTCGCGCGGTAGAAAGATTTGCATTTGAACAAACAAGATCAACATCGGCACAAGAACAACCGGCAGTAAGGAAAGGAAGATTTGCATTTGAGCGAGGATCAAGATTTGGATTTGCACCTGAGAGATGGCGGCGGGGAGAGCGTGGCCGCACCTGGCGAAGCTGGACCTGGAGGCGATGAGAGAAGCAATGGACGACATGGCTGCGCTCAGGCGCAGGAGCGGGTGGCGGCGGCGCGGAGAGACGGAGGAGGAGGAAACCCTGGTGGGCGGCGCCACTTCCACTCGGGTCTGGTTTGGTTTGGTTCGGCCCAAATGCACGCTCGGTTCTGGAGGGCAAAACTAGAATTCCGGCCCAACGCTATTAGGAAACTTTATTATTTGAGTTAATACCACTTCAAATACATAAACTTGTCCTGGTGGGAACAAGTTCATACAAGAACTAAAAAACCCCACAAAAATAGTACAACAACTTTGCTAACAGAACATTTTAGTCCATTTCCGTCTATTCTGACGGTGTGTCATCCTTGCCGTTATAACGTTCGCTGACATGGAACCGGCCCCATTTGTCAGTGTCGCACGTAAAAGAATAAACCAAACCATAAAATAGTACGCAGCCGGTTTCGAACGAAGACCTCCCGCACTCAGTCTGCTTGCCAAAACTGCAACGCGCTAACCACCCTGACAAAAGACACTTGTTGTACAAATTGGAGTTGCAACCTTTATAATCGTTTATTCACGCACAGTTTACACTCATAATTTTTTCTTAAATACCGAGAGCTGTATTCCCCGCTAAAGATACGTTCAGTGATCCATTTGAGTATGTACTCCCTCCGGTCCTTTTTACTCTGCATATAAGAATTGTTCGAAGTCAAACTTTACAATTTGACCATATTTGTATGAAAAAATATCAACATCTACAATACTAAAGTTATACGATATGAAAAATAAAGTCATGACGCATCTAATGATGTCAATTTCACATTATGAATGTTGATATCTTTTTCTATAAAGTTGGTCAAACATTATGAGGCTTGACTTCAGACAAATCTTATATGCCAACTAAAAAGGGCCGGAGGGAGTATGCTTCACGTTTGAGCCAGGGTTTCTTGTACATGAGCCGGACCACGATGCCGCTGTTCACTAGCTTCGGTATATGAACCACTGGCATATCTTCACCGACCGAGACCAAATAACCGGGCCAGCTAACATAGCTATATTTATGTGTTGGCAACATTGAGAAGACCCGTCATCCCGCAGAGGTGCATGTACGTGTGCTAGCAACATAGTTCATGGGACGTCACCGGATTGCGGAGGCGCCGTACTTTCAGTCTAGGATCGGTCGGATCGTGAAGACGTACGACTACATCAACCGCGTTGTCATAACACTTCCGCTTTCGGTCTACGAGGGTACGTCGACAACACTCTCCCCTCTTGTTGCTATGCATCACCATGATAGATCTTGCGTGTGCGTAGAATTTTTTTTTTGAATTACTGTGTTCCCCAACAGGGGGCGGTGGGAGTTGGATCACGCTCCGGCTCCGGCTCGGCCTTGAGCTCGACGACGGGCGGCGGCGACACGGACAAGGGCGCCTGGACGGAGTCCCCCGCCGCGGACAAAAGGGCTTGCTCCAGCCCATCCCAGTGGGCGCCTCCTCGAGTCGGCTCGCCTCCAGCGCGTGCTGCAGGGCCTCCTCGAGGGTGGCTTGGTACTCCGCCTCCGCCTTCTCTTCCTCCGGCTCTACCCTAAGGGGCGGCAGTGGAAACTGGGGGTTGATGTGGACGCCTCGTCGCCGTTGCTCGTCGTGTTCGAGGGCAAACCAGGCCTCCCAGTTGGGAGAGTCGGCAGCATACTCGGGCATTCGCTGCTGCGCCGACGTGAGCTGCGCCCAGCGCCTGCACACTTCCTCGTCGTGCTCCCGCTGTGATCGCGGAACCGCCGGCACCGGGATCTGCTACGGATCGAGGTGCCAGTGGTGCGACAACGTCACGTCAGGGTAAGGCATCGGCTGCTTGTAATCCTAGTGTCACCACGTTTGGTGCACCGGGATGTGCAGATGCTGCCGACCTGAGTGGGAACGCGCCGGTGGTGGGGGAGGAGGGGGAGGAGGAGCACGGGAGGATGAGGCGCCGGGGGTGCCCTTGCCCTTGTCATTGCCGGAGCTGTTGCCGAAGAGGCCCATTGCTAGGGTTTGGGTTGTCGCCGGCGAGGAAGCACGAAGAGGGTGGTGGGGGCCAGATGTGGACGGAAGTGGATGAGGCCGCCCCCTCCCCCGCACGCGTGGGTTAAAAAACAACGCTTCCACTGGCTGACTAGTGGGCCCGGTGACGGAGGTCGTCATAAATTAGATGACGGGCGGTAGTTGCGTGGCCGCCAAGTGGGACCGCAGCGGACACTGAGGGGACGCGCGCCGCGTCTGCTTCGCGTCCCTGCCGACGCATTTCAGGCACAATTTTGGGTCGGAAATGGATCCGCGCGAACGCGAATCAGACGGTTTTTCAAAATGGGCGATGCGTTGGGCCGGTGGTTTTGTCCGCAGCGACCCAAACGGACGTGGGAGGACGAAATGGATTGCCCCGTTGGAATTGCTCTTAAGCCCACAAAAAGTATTTGTATTAAGTAGGAGTACGTATTTCTTTTAGGTATACCGATTAGTGATCGGTTGAAGTGTTCTCGTTCCGTGCGCGACCAAAGACTATAAGATGTGCAGCTCAATTTAGATCGATGGTTGCCTTATGTTGGGTTGGTTAGCGCGCTGCTACCTCCAAGAAAACTTGTGCGCGAGGTCTCCGGTTCGAAACCACCCCCCCTTAGCTCGCTATTTTGTTGTTTTGGTTTATTTTTTCTTTGTGACACTGACATGCGGGCCCAGTTTCACGTCAGCAACTGTAGAAGCACGTTATAACGGCAGGAGATGACGCACCGGCAGAATAGACGGAAATGGACTAAAATGTTTTGTTAGCAAAGTTGTTGTACTACTTTTATGAGGTTTTTTAGTTCTTGTATGAAATTGTTCCCACCGGAACAAGTTTATGTACTAGAAGCGGTATTAACTCTTATTATTTTGAGGGGACAATGGACAAACAGACGCGTCCGGACAGAGCCCCTAAACCCAACTGTCCTTCTCGAATTGGTGACATGCCCGCCCTGGCGTTTCGTCGAACACGTAGTGGGCGCGGCATGCCAAAGGGTGAGCGCGGCGAGCGGAGTAGCAGCGCCTTTGGAGCTAGCGACGAGCGCGTCCGGGAGCTCCACGCGCTCCAGGTGCGCCGCAACGACGTCCTTCCCCTCCTTGGGCCCCTACGAGGGGCGCCTGGTGGCCGCTACGACCCGCTCATGCTGCTTGAGCCGGCGTGGAAGAGGTGAGGCCGAGCGCGAGGTGGGTGGAGCCGCGCGATGCGGTGACACTCCCGTTGCGGCAGCAGCGCTGGCGACTGTAGTTGTTGCGAGTACGGGCACGACATCTGCAACTGCTACGAGCGGGGACGGCAGCTGCTGCTGCTCCTATACCAAGCGTGCGAGCGCCCCGAGTGGGGAGGACGACAGCGCCGACGGCTGCAGCAGCTGCTGGTCTTGCTTGGGCGGTGTCGGGAGCAGAAGCAGACGTAGCAGTGTGGCATGGTCCACGCTATGGCGGCGGGGCAGAAGCGATGGGGCAGAAGGGGACAAGAGACGGGCCAAGCAGGGGCGACAGCGGCGGCCAAAGGGCGTGTGCCCGCCGCAGCGTCCCAGATGCAGCCATGCATAGGTGGGTCGATGGGGAAGAGAGAGAAAAGGAGGAGAAAGAGATGGGAGGTGAGTGGGTCGGTGACTGGTGGGCCGGGAGCGGACACAGACGGACAAGACAAGGTGGACCTAGAGAACGCCCGGTTTGTGCCCGTTTCGGATCCAAATCCAAAGCAACTTTGAGACAGAAATGGATCCGAACGAACACAACATAGACGAAAAACAAAATGACTCCATGCGTTGGGCTGCAATTTTTTATTTATGCGGAGGCCTTATCTCCACATTATAATAATAGTTTTACATTACAATAATAAATAGTTTATTACAACCAAATGAAGATCTCATAGTGTACAACCAAATGGAATTTAAAATGTCACAGATATATTGAAAGAAAATAGCCGATACATCTACTGGTCGCCAAGGTGAGTCAACAAGTGATCAACCAAATAATTTTCAAGTTGAATATAAGGTGCTCAATCATGCATTTTTGCATGAAATTGGGTAGATTTGTGCTATTTTCCTATTGGGAACTGCAGGAGCTTCTTACCCTCTTGAGCTTTTCTATGGAATAAAAGCTTAATAACCTTCAATTGTGGCTGGACTGCCTCCGTTCACGGACTAGTCTTGGTATTTCTTTCGATGTCTTTGGTTTTAAGGGTTTAAAGTCCGTACATATCACAAGTAATGTCAGAACATATCTATTCTCGTGAATTCTGATGTTGCGGAGGCACATGCGTGGGGATGCCTAGCTAGAGCACAAGAAATGTCATGAGTTAAGTGATTGACTAATGAACTACAAATGAAACTCGACACAATATGGACTTGTGTACTTCTCAAGAAAACTTACCCAAAAACGAGTGATCGCGGGACGCAACGATTCAGTGCTCGAGCTCATCTGCTCCCGCACCCGCTGTCGTTCGATCCTTACTCGGGATTCACAGAATTCGGCCTGACACGCATGCACGGGGCTGCAGAAAAATGGGCCACGACGCGTATTTGGTAGAAAACAGTGCTAGTTTGTGGGCCCAGAAAGTAATGGTTGATGGACGCCCGCGCGGGGCTCTGACTAGTCCGTGGATCAGGTCGGCAACTATTTGGGCTGAGCCGTGGAACAGTACGTTAGTACAGGCCGGTGGGTCGATGTTGCGCCGTCCGAACCACCAACTGGACCTCACGTGAGGCGAGCCAAATGTTGGACCCGTCGGACGGGCAACACTCAAACCCAAACCCTCGCCTAGGACGTTCTAGAAAGCTTCGGCAGCCATGGACGGATTCCCCTCATTCCCCAGGTCTGCGGAGGGCTCTGGTTGTTCCGTCCAGCTGGTGGTGGAAGATGCCGGGATGGAGTTCCTGCTTGATGCCGTCGACTAGTAAGTGAACCCTGCCCGTCGGCAGATCTATAACTTTCGCAGATTTGCGTTTCTTATTGGCACAGCAGATGGCTATCGATGAGCCCCGCTCAACTCCGTAGTTG